GAGAATGAGTTAACGTTGTGTTTTCTTACCTCTGCTGCCGCTGCTCGGAACCCATCAGGAACGGTGGCCGCGGGTCATGCTCCGGGGGCAGTCACTGAAGCACTGCCAGGGTTGTGCCGGGCTCGGCCGGCCGTTCAAGCTGAGCTGATGAATGATCTGATTCGGGCTCCGATTCATTAACTAATCATAAGAAACGAGCAGGTAGAAAATAGGCCCAATTCAAGAACTTGTGCGAGGCGTGTTACCGGTCCCTCTGTCCCCGGGCGCTGCTTAATGCGCTTCTGCCGACCTCCCCTTGCCGATGGACGCGGTGCGCCGGGTGGTCAGGCCGCGGATCAGCCCCTGCGCCTTCGGCCGGGCAGGCAGAGGACAGTCTGTTTTCGTTACAGAAGTACGTTACGCTGCAGTGTACCTGCAGTTGTGATTTGCTTTTCCTAATGCTGTTTTCTTTGCGCTCTGTGCGTCGTGTGATGGTTTGCGGTAAACCAGAAGACTGCAGAAGTGGTGGCTGAGCGGGGCCGGGCTCGGACCAGCCCCTCCGTACCCTGGAGAGCCACAGAGGGGGGACATCCCTGGAGGGGAAAGGGGTGGCCTCCCACGTAGCCAACTCAAGAATGACAAAACAGGGTCCCAGTGCTGATGTCAAACCTCTCTTCACTGGGGAAATGGGCTGAAGAGAGTCTGGAGGGTGGGAAGACAGTAGGGAAATTAAATATATATAAAAAGAACAGAAACCTTTGAAGAGCTCACCCACCTCCATGCAAAGCTACCACCCTCCTGCCAGCATGTGATGCCTCCCTTTTCATTGCTACCCAACTGAAAAAATAAAAATAAAAATTGGATGACAGCATCCAGAGAGGGGCAAGGGGTTGGGGCGGATCCTCGTGGGGATGCAGCTGCTTCAGGTCAGCAGCCCAAAGCTGGCACAAAAGCTGCCACGTTCACTCGTGCTCTGAGAAGCCGGGGTGGTGATTCTGCGTGCACGGCGTCGGCGGTTGGAGTCGTTGTTCCAGAGCAGACGTTTTCAGCCTGGTGCATTTAGAGCATTGCTCCGTGGCACCATCGGCTCCTGCGCGTGGAGCAGGGCCACGGGGGCACTGCTGCACCCGGGCCCTGGCACAGCTCCGTGCCAGCGCCTCGTCAGCTCCGCAAGGTTCTACTTTAGCTGGGCTCTGGGAAGAAAAAGGTCTGAGTTCTAGTCCCTCTTCCTCGGGATGCTCCTTGGTGACATAACGCAGTGCAGGCGCTTCCTCCTGGGCATTGCCAGGGGAGGAGTGGGGGTGAGGAGGACTTGGCAGTGCTGCACGGTGGGCAGCAGTCCGGAACCAGTGGGCAGGTATGTCTGCGGGAACAAGCTGCTTATTAGAGCTGTTGCTTTAAACACGTCTTGTTTTCAGTTCTCTCTCCCTACATGTTTTGAATATATTTAGGACACTTATCACCATAGCATCAAAGCACTGAAATATCCTGTGCAAGAAACTGAGAGATCTGCCCCAAAATAGCCGTCTGCTCTTTTACCAAAGCCCCGATTTCGCTGTCAGCGCTTCCTTTCCCTGCCACTGCCCATGACTGCGCGTGTGCCAGAGCCTTCTCCGTCCCCACCGGCCCGGCGCTGCCACTTGTCACAGCGCAGCGGGTTAAGGGCCAAGTCTGGGAGAGGTTTGTGGTGCTTTTTGGTGTATTTGTCTGAAATCTTCAGTATCGTGTAAGGGGCCGAACAGTTTTGCAGGCTTCCCTGTGTGCAGGGCGCTGGAAACGTTATTGCTGTTTATCTTGATACGAGAGGACGAGGGGGTGGGTTTGCGGCGTGAAAGGCCAAGTTCTGAGCTGGCACCGCGCACGGGGGCCGGCCGTTGTGAGCCCAGGTGTGCGGAGAGACTTTATGGCTTGTTGGGTCTTAAGGCATCCTGGGCACCTTTGGCTTTTCCTGATGCTCTCGGCGTCCCCTGAAGCTTGGTGTGTCTGATGAGTTGGGGCAGAGCAGATGGTGTCTTTCCTCCTGTCTGGGTTTGGGGCCGAGGCGGGAGGAACGGAGCTGCCCTCACTTCTCTCTGTTGCTCTCTGAGCTTTTTGTTTTGCAGCCCCAAACTGAACTTCACATTCTCCCTCGGTGCCTGGCTCTGCCTCCGGCCCCGCGGGGGAGCACCTGCCCCACTCGGGCACGAAGGTTGCATGGTGACTTTCTCCAGTGTACATCTGTCTGAAGCCCCCAGTGAGTTCCAGTTTGTTGTTTGCTTTTTGTCCCTCATTTTCAAACCCCTCTTGCACGCAGGTTGCTCTGAGCTCCCTCCTGAGCATCGGCAGTTCGGGATGTGCTCCCGGTCTCCAGGAATGCTCCTCCTGAGCTCTGGGTGAGATGGCACCGGGGTCTCGCAGGGCAGGGTGAGTTGACAGTAACAAGGGAAGATCTTCGGTTGGAGCCACTGCAGAGTCCCACTGTCTCGGTCCCACTCCGGGGCACTCCGGGCTCTGCTGGAGCCAGGGCCTCGCGGCTGCCTCTCACCATGGAGTGTAAAAGCTCGGGATCAGCATCAGCGGAGCGTGCGGGGGGATCGGCCCGTCCCCCTGCCCGGGGCACAGTGCAGCCCGCTCCAGCCACGTCACCCCGCTCGGCACACTGCACGACCAGGCGGTCCTGTTGGACCTTGGCTCCATTACAGTGGTGTGAGATGAGGTCACTGTCTGTTTCAGGGCAGTAAAACACGGAAGCTCCCCTTCCTTCCCGAGTATTCAGCTGGGATTCACTCTTCCTCCTTGCCCTTCCTTTGCCAGCGTTTCCATCTGCGTACTCCATCCTGGTGTAGCTCCGGCCGCCCGTGCCGCCGTCGGCCGCGAGCC